CAAAGAATAGGTAGCACAGCAAGGTCACATGAATGAACCAATTCATGTGAAAAAACGCTTTATAATTAGCAAATTAACTATGATAAGACATTCGCAAAAAAAGCCTTAAAGACTTCGCTGAACTCTCTACGAACAATTCATGACAGCAATTTTTTGCGAAAACAAGGATTTTCCAAAAGAACAAGCATCATAACGGCGTAAATGCTCGTATTATCTATTGTTAATTTTCACAAAAAGTATAGTAGTAGAGCATGAAAGCCATGATGCGCGCCATTATGTCTAACAATGACGCTATCAAACACGGCAAAGAAACACAGACTGTTACACTGTAATCATTGACATCCATCAATCAGTCGCTTTTAGTTCATCTGTCAAAACAGCAAAATAACAAAGCTCTGATTCCCGTCAGTTTTCAAACTATCCTTTTTGAAAACCTTGTTTGACCGAGGTTAAAGAGAAGGCTCTATTTTAGATTTCCGGATATCGATATTTACTATTTTGAATGTCTTAACATGCAACTTGCAAATTCAGTATTAGTTTATCAATTCCCCATCATCTTCATTTACATCAATGCAAAAAAGCTCCCGAAAGGTAAGCGTGGATTTGAGACGTAATTTTGGGTCATCCCACTAAAGACATATTTAGCTCCCACATAAGAAAAATCTTATAGAAGATCGGCAATATGACGTATAGTATAGAAGTCGTAGACATTTTGAAAACTGAATCGCATTTGAGCATCATGCACCACACAAGAGGAAGAATATGCCATGCGAATGAAATTTGCTCCATTCCATAAATACTGCTATTTGGATAAAGCATTCTCACGATTTTTCACTGTGATCAGGATAAACGAAGATGATCTGGCGTTCTGCTTTCTCAAAGATGAAAGCAGTTTCTAAGCGCAATTGAGTAAACAAAGACATCTACTAAAAACGATCTACAGTATCCTAAGCAAATCGGAGCTTTTCAAAATCCCACAAAAATTTTCAAGAGATTTCTGGGTATTGGCAGTTTCTGTGACAGCCCTTCACTCTACTAGAATTACTATGCTGTCATTTCTATGACAACACTCTACTAGAATTACTCTGTTGTCAAAGCGGATCCCTCAAAAACTATTGCTTATTCCTGCACATCGCAATATTCCTCTTACCAAACGTTTACTGGCGGCAGCGGGTTTCCACAGAAAAGATCTACCCTTCCCCAGCAATATAAGTTGAAATCAGAACCAACTCACGTGAGGATTCAGGCCGAGGTTGCTGATCATGTGGGGCTCGCCTAACCATTGCTAACCAAGGTTCATGGAAAAATTTCAGTTGAAGCATGGCAACCACAAATAGGGATATCGGTGTGAATAGTCGCACAAATAGGGTTCTAAAAAACAAGTATGCTACTTGGTAGTGTAAAAAAAACGAAAAAAAATTAGTTCTAAAAATAAACAGAAGGCAAAAAATAAAAAGAAAAAGCTCTATAACTAAAAAACCAAAAAAATCTCAAAAATGATTCTTGCAAAATTGCCACTCATACCCAGATTTGCCAGCGTTACTGTAGTTGATCAGGCCAATGTCGTCATTCCACTTCTTGTCCAGTCCCGTCCACTTCGTCCAAATGTCAGGGAACTACAAATTCAATTCAAAAGAGAAGAAAACCAAACGTGTGACAGCCCTAGGTAGCCGAAAAAGAAGAAAACACGAATTTACATCAATAATTAAGCAAGTGATGACATCAACAATACCCAGCCCAGGATGGTACCAAAGATAATATTATTTGATTTGAAAATTCAAGCAAATTAACAATTAACAACTTCAACCAATTTTTTCTAAAAATTGGAAAGTAAAAATCGATAATCAACTCACATCTGGGAACTGATAAACGTACAATGAGATAATCACCACCGATGTATAGATAATCAAGCTTAACCAGAACGGGTAAGCGATGCGGCAGAAGAATCCAAAACTGGTCTGAAAATGGTTGTCTTCGTTAAATAAAATATGATTTGGACTAAAGAAATAAGGAGCTGTAATTTGAAACAAATATAAAAATGAGAATTCCTTCTACCATCTCGGGTTTTTCATCAACTCTTTTCTCAGTATTTCAAACCAGAAATAATCCTTTCACTTTATTTGGTGGCATTGGACAGTAAGACAAGCTGGGAAGTTTGTTCTATTTTCATATAAAAAGCGGAATAGAAAAGAAACAGTGAATTTATATTGACGAAGATGCAAAATGCAGCGCAGCCAGTTGGACAAACAGAGAACGAGAGGAACATCGAAACGACTCACTCAGAAAGGTTAAAGGTCTTAAGGGTCAGGAGTATGAATAACAAAAAATGAGCAAGCAAAGCAATTTAGAAAGGTTAGGGTTTTAGGAGCAAAAACAAGAAGAAAATTATAAGGTTTGCATAAGCAATACATTTAAAATTTTTTTTACACATCTGCGTAATTTCCAATTTCAAATGAAAGAATAAGCTTACAGATGCAAATTTGATAAAAACCATATTTTTTTTAATGGAATAATGCAGTTTATAGGTGTATCTGTTGAATTCATCAACCACAAAATACAGTTCTTACAAAAATTTTCAAAAAATTATTTTCGGTGACACTTCAAATTAACAATTACTGCGGGAGATGTACAATGGGTAAGCTAATAGTTGAGTATGTAAGATTCATAGTTGTTCAAGATTTTAGAAAACATCAAAATTTGAAGAGCAATGCCGCACAAACACTCCAAAAAAACGTTTGAGTTTTCAGAACAAGGTGATCAATAG